TAGAGGTTTGTTAGAATATAATAGAGACAGACTCTATGAGCGATATGAGAAATAGAAAAATAAAACTCATGCAGAGCACCAGAATATTTTAATTTTAAATCAACAAATTTTTGCGCTACAGAATAAGCAACATATAAATAACAATCAAACAGGTATGGCAGGATATGAACCTCAAAATTTTTATAGATATCCTGATGAAGATCCAGAAGAATTTATTGATGATTTTCGTTTATATCTTGTGTCTGCCAGAATCAATGTAGCTGGTGGACATGCAGATAGAATTCAAGCACATGGTTTTTTTGAAACACAACTTAAAAGTAATGCTAAAGATTAGTATGAAAGAATTATCAAAAAAAAAAACTAGAAATTAAAAAATTTACTAGATAATACTGGACAGGGCACTTTAGCTCTGGTTTAAGGATGAATGGGAGCGCAACTTGGTGCACAAGCCTTAAATCATGCAAACAGACAAGCTGGTAATGTTGTAATTCTAGCTCATACAGTATTTGATGATGATTGGTCTTATGCTAATAGAAGACCAACAGATCATTTACCCAATATACCAAATGCTAATGCAGGTAATACTGTAGTTGTGCCTGGAATTCGACTTGATCAGGTATTATATTGGTTTAAGACCAATTATCCCACAGTTACCGCAGAGAAATAGCGAGTACAAGTTACTCTCATTATAGTGAACTTTCGATATAGTGAAGACTAATTAAAATCACAATATAGTGAAGTTAAGCTAAAGCCAGTTTATATAAAATTCTCTCGATATAGTGAATTTACTAATAAAACTCTCGATATAATGAATTTTTTTAAAAATTTTCATTAATGGAACGGATCACTTCACTATAATGAGAGTGACTTGTACTTTTTGGTTCAACTATCCAAGAGAGTGACCCAGTTGGCTGTTTCTATTCAAAATTGTGTAAATTGGCTAGACTCGTTAATATTGATGAAAGACAAATTCGATTGTATTTCTTTGTGGGCTTTCGCCAGCCAATCAAATAGAAGTTTGACGCATGGGAATGAAAAACCTGTAGATAAATTACTTCTGAAACTTGAAGAAATTGAAAGATTTATAGCAGAATAATTATCTGGAGCTTACTTGTATTCAAACTCAGATTCAATCTCTTTAAAAAAAGCTTATGGAAAGGATAATTACACAGATATGAATGAAACTGAAGTTAGAAACTTGATAAAATCTATAACAGCTCCTGCACAAACTCAACCCATTTCTTCACAATCAGTTTCTCAGAAAATACAACCAACATAGCCATCTAAAGCTTATTATAGACCACAACCTCCAGGAACGTACCAGACTATACGAGATTCAAATATTGGTAGATTTTTACAATAGATCACTAGAGAAGTTCCAGAATTCATTCCTATTCCAAAGCCTGATTTACCCCCAAAACCAGTAATAAAAAAGAGTAAAGTTGGCTCTGGTGAAGAATTAGCTAATCGTATAAGTGAGTTATCAATAAATATAGTTGTAAATAAAGCTGTGAAAAAAGCTATGAAGTCACAACGCCGGTCTTGAAAGAAGAAAAAGAGAAGCAAGAAGCCTAAAAAGGGTAAGGTTAATCTCGCTACTGTAGATCTGGATTCTGATTCAGATACTTCATCCAATGCTTCTTCTAGTGATAGCTCTGACTCTGATACAAGTTCAGAAGATTTTTCTGATTCTGGAGGTGATATCACTGTTAATATTGCTAAGTTAAAAAAAAAGTGAAACGGAACTCTAGCTTCAAGAAATCATCCTTTAAAAGGATGTCTAAAACTTCATTGGAGGGAACTATTCGTAAAATCCTCCAAAGTGACTTAAATTAATTTTTTCTACACAATTTTCTCAAGATTCTAATCCTGTTGTGTCCGAACAAAAAGCTCCCATAAAGAAGAAGATAAAGTCCTCAAACAACACCCCACCATCTTTTAAAGATCCAACTCCGGATAAATCCAGTTTAGAGGAAGAAAACTATTTGGATAGCCCGATAAAAATCGATTTCGTCAAGAAGAAGGAGCCACCCACAAGCATTGTAACAGTAAAGTGTAAAATCAAGTGCTTAAAAATCCCTGCTATGACCCTCGATTCTGGTACCGAACCTCCTATCATAACAGAAAATATCGTTGAACATGTTGGAGTTAAAATTGATAAATCTGAAACACATGATCTCAGTGGTATTGCTACCGTTCCAGTTGAATCTGTTGGGGTTGTCCGCAATTTGCCCATTACTCTAGCTCCAGGTTGTACTATCCATGAAGATTTTATTGTTGTAAGATACCACAAGCCAACATTAATATTTTCTAACCAACTTTTAAAGAAATACAATTGTACATTAAATTGAAAAACCAATGAATTAAAGATCCCTCTTAATGGAGAAGACTATATTATTCCGGTAACCATGCACAAGGTTAAAAACAAACTCGAGGTAAATTGTACTAATATTGTATCACAGGGTGAGAAGTCTACGCCTTCAGAATGTATTTCGTATGACTCGCAGAACTTAAATGTGGATGGTGTATTAAAAAAAAACGCATGAGTTATAAGGAGCTTGAAAAAATGTTATATACCACTCTTATTTCTGAAGCTAAATTAATTGAGATTAATAAAAACCTTTGATCTCTTTTTTTATGTTAACTATTAGTAGAGTACTTTTGCTAAATATAATGGGCTGAAAGATGAGTTATAAGCTAGGCATTTTTCTGATTCGCATATGGCTTCTTCTGCTTCGATATGATTTTTTCCAATTGAAGCAATTAGATCATACAAGATGTCTAGTGAGGAATTTTGGCAGGAGCCTTCGGTTGAAATCTCAGGTAAGTCAGAACTTTGAATGGGTTTGGGTTTTGATGACTTCTTTTTCTTTTTTTGTTTTTCCTGTACACGATCCAAGAGGGACCCACCCGTCTCAATAGACTCAGAAAATGAAGAGGTCCTAGATGAACTAGATAATTCTCTTGTAATTGACTTGTCTAACGACTTTAAAAATCCTACAATTGGATGATTGTTTTCTTTTTCTTGGGGTCATTCTCTGAAGAAAGAACTGATGAGATAGATTGTACTTTTCTAAGCTTCTTGAAAAAGTGGTTTCTATTTTGTTGTGAATACTTACAATTGTTCCATATATCATGACACGATTTTTATTAATATGGTACTCCTTTACTATCATATATACTAGAACTTTATTTTTAAGATGTCTAATTTCTTCGATCTGCTCAGATGTTAAAATATTGGCACCTCGACGATAATTAGTTTTTAAAATTACGGTAGACATAATCTTCTGATATTTTTAGACAATATATTTAGATATATAAAAAATATTAGATATTAATATTTATCGTTTTAGATGGATAACAAAAATTAGAATTCAATATTTATTATTTTAGGATAAGAGGGGATATTAGAAAGCATAATTTATTGTTTTAGATGGGTAAAATACATTCTAATACGCTATCTAAAATAATAATAAAAACGATCGATAACCTTCGTGTTTATTTTTTATTTATTGTGATTATTCTCTAACATAAAATTTTGAAGTTTTTTTTTTTTTTACATGTTTATTGCTGATGTAAATAAATGGGAACATATGATCTTGAAAATGAGATACGTCGCATCTTACAAGACTCATCCAAGATACGAGGCTATAATGCTAAGTTACGGAATGAATATATGAAAATCAATGATGAGGCAAGACGGTTGAAGGTTGAAAATTCTAAACTTTTTTCCCAATATGCTTGCACGAGGACATCTTTCGCCAAATATAAAGCTAAATATCATGCAAAATCAGAGGAAGTGAAATCACTTCAATCTGTGATTAATTCATTACCCTCAGGATATTTTAATAAGAATAATCAGCCAGATGGTTCTGAGAGGACCGATTTATATGTAAAAAGTGGTGACAAAAAAATAATGAGCCAGAGAGCTCTAGCACTTCTTCAGAACAAATCATACCCGCTACTATTTCTAAAAAAATATTTTATTAGGTGGTGCAGGGAACTCTATCGATATAGACAAATTACTATCATCAGTGCTCACCTGCTCGATATTGCTTTTTCTATTAATCGTAATTATATGGTTAGTTATTGTGAAAAGCTACAGAATTTGGAGAGTATCATGCCGAAAGAAAAAGTCAGATATAGAGAAGAGGTACCAAAGGTACCAGATAGGCTAGGCTGTGTAATCGGAGAACCAGGTCAGAAGAGGTCACCTCGTGACCAGATCAGAGATAGAAATTGAATTTAGCCAGTATTATTGCATGAAAAAAAAATAAATAATATTATACGAAACATTTCTTTGAGACTAAGTTTTTTTAGCTGAAAATTCCACACCTCTGCTAGAATACTTAATAATATAATTTGATGATCTCGTCTATATCTGCTCTAGACGAATCATCTTTTTTACCATCCTGTAATTTTGATAACGTTCGGTAGCATATGATTTCTAGGCCAACTACTTTGTACTATGTATTTCAGAAATCTGCTAGTAGCTTACACTCATCCAAATAATATGATGTTAAATATTGTTCTAAGGACATTGCTTGTTTCTTAGTAACTAATTTATATATACTTTCTCTATACCCTATATCAACCTCAGAAATTTCTTTAAGCAATGATGAAAGTTCTAAGCGGATAGATTCTTCTTGCTTATCTAGCGCATTGAGGAAGGATTGGTAATAAGCATTGTTAGTCAGGTGTTTTCTCTTGTCAGTATAAGTAGTATCAAATAATTTTTTCGCGTAAGTACTAGCTTCTTTCCATAGATGGGATATTATGGCTTTATCTTTTTTCGGACCTTTATGTAGGTTTTTAATATACTCCCTAATCCATTTTTTAGCCGATTTCTGCGCTAAGGCATCTCTTATTTTTGATACCTCATCTTTATCTATTTCGTCTTCATCCTCTTCATCTTCGTCCAGGTCATCTTCATCTACCCACTGTCATCCGCTTTACTGTCACCCGCTTTATTACCATCTTTTAACTTTTTTAAGGCCCTAGCACAATTTCAGATGATAGCTGGTATCTTTCGTCATAGTTAATAAATCGTGCACAGAGGCCGACAACAGTTTTCAGATAATAGCTGATATCGATCTTTTTACCTAATCGCCTCACGACCTCTGGAAATTCCATTTTATCCCCTACCCTCTGTGACAAATCATTCTCAACTACAATATACTCAAAACGTTCGCCTGGTTCTGGAATTTTATAAAGATAAGGCTTGGGTGCTAGATCCTTTTTTATGAGCCGTTTGATGTCTGCTTCTTCATGGGTATGTCTATCCCGTATTCGTGAAATAAAGCGCTGTACACTCTTGTTATTTTTATCATGCTTCTACACAGCAGTTTTAATTATTTTATTAAGATCTATCTGTGAAATACCATTTACCATTTCCGTGAGTACACTCTCCACGATCTGATGCAAGATATGTATATTATTTACCCTGGTAGATTCTTCCATAATACGTTTTTCTATTTTACAGAAAAGACTAGACTGCCCCTGTTTTATAGTCTCAACTCCCCGAATGAAAAGTTTG